ATTAATCAAATGCAAAATATTAATTCGTAAAAGTTGTTTTTTTTATAAAAAAAGTCAATTTTATTTCATTTTTTCTCAATTTTATTTGAAATTTTTATTTTTTAAAAAATAAATTTCGCGTATTTTGAATCTTTTAAAGATTGATCAAATATATTCTAAAGAATTAAATGGCTAAATTTCTTGCATTTACGAAAATACTATTATCAGTAATAATAGTGATTTACAAAATGTGCTCCAACATATCAAACTTTATGCTTTTTGGCAAAAACAAAAATGTGAACTCTGAATGGAATGGTACTCGACGAGGACGAGGATTTCATCGCTTCTAATTTTTTTTTAATTTTTTTTTTTTTTACATGAAAATACGATTCTATAGCAGGTTGAGATTTATAAAGAAAATTTTCTTGCCAAATTTTAGCGTTATCATTCATCATCAATGATATAATCATTGCAATCATTAATTGGTAAAAAAAAGATGAGATTTATTGTGAAAGTATGATTTTTTAACTAATATTGGAGAAACTTTCCATTTGCAACTTTTATGCTCAAATTCTATTTCATATCGTCTAATTGCTTCCTTTTAGATGATTTTAAAGACTATTCTTCGAAGTTCTTTTCGTTCTAAATTAGATAAAAATTTTCAAAATTTGTTTCGCTTTAACCAATTTTATTGTGCATATCGTTAATTTGCTATCAGTGAAAATGATATGATATGCAAATCAATCAAATTTTTGTGATAATTCAGAAAGGAAATCGAAGAAAATCTCAAAAAAATGGCGAATTATTAATAAATTTATTATTCATCCAAACCAAATAGATTTAATATTCAATTTTTTTGATAATCTAGTATTATTATTATAAAGTTTGGCTTTTTTTCATCGCATTAGTTCAGTTGACGAGAGTAAATTTACAATTTTCCAAATTTATGTAATTTATTTATGTAGTTTATTTATTTAATTAAAATTTAAAAAAGTATTTTTTAATAAAATTTAGAGTATTTTTTCAGTTGTTTTTTTTTAGTTATTGTTTGTGTTGTGATTCTAAGATATTCGTGAAAAAGCGACGTAAAAAAATGGCGATATATATTTTATTTCATTTTTTGGCATTACTTTCCGATTCTACGCGAACAGAACAAATCATTTATCCAGGTTGGTGTTTTTAGAATAAAATTTTATTATTTTTATTTTCAATCGAGACGAAAAAATGGAAAAATTCATCCATCGTTAATTTCCCTTAATCATTTTTCTAATTGATTATTGTTATTATCATTTTAATTTGATTATTCCATTTGGTTATGATTTCTAGATAAATTTCCTTAAAAATTTTGTTTTTATAGAAAAAAATTAGAGTTTTGGAACCATCACCAGGTTTCGATTAGAATGTTGTAAATATATTAAATTAAGCTATTATTAACTAAATAAATGATAAGCACTCTATCGACTATTAGTAAAATGCGAAATTTTTGTTATTGAACCATTTGGTGATAGAATTAGAATGGAGGTGGGTTGGTGAAACTTTTTAATGATAAACTTTTTCTTATCATTTGGAAGAATGCGAATCTTGAGCTTGACGAAGCCAGTGATTTGACTACTCGGTTATCCTATCCCTCGGAATATTAAATATTAATTTGTAAAAAATATTTGTAAAAAAACATTTTTATAAAAAATCAATTTGCTTTTATTTTTTTCTTAATTTTATTTGAAAAAAAATTAATCGTTCTTCGATTTATTTTATTTCTATTGTCTTCTATGGTTTTTTATGAATTGATTTTTTTGAATTTAATGAATTTTGCTTTAAAAAAAAAAAAGGAATTTTAATTTAATGCGCACGAATTCTAAAGCATTGATTTAAATCAATGATATTCATTTAATATAATTATTCTCTTTGTTCTTAATTCGAATTAGCAAGTTATCAAATTTTTCTTTCATTTTTTTTAATTTTTATAAGAAATTTTTCAATTCCCCCTCCCCTCTCAAAAAAGAAAGAAATTAGTCTAATCAGTCAGAAATTATTTATTCAAATAATTAAATAAGTGATTCGCGCTTATCATTTGGTTATCAGCGAATCATTTGGATGATAAAAGGCGATATAAGTGCGTAATTTATCCACAATTCCTGTGGTTTTTGAATAACTCTTTGCTCCTATCAGAGCCACAGGTGTTAAATCTTTGCCTTTCAGTATGATGCACTGAGCCATTATATTCACTCGGCTACTGTGGTCCCCTTATTATTCACTGTAAGCTGAATACTTTTATAAAAAGCAAATTAATTCGCATTAAAATATCGAAATGGAACAAATAATAGAAAAAAATTATTTGACATTAGAATCGACATTGACATTAGTCGAGTGCTATGTTATTTCGATACGGCCAAGCAATCACATAAGTTCCATTCATGCAATCCTTAATAGCAATCTTTCTTCTACTATCAGAAATCTCGATAATGCTAAGGAAGCACTAGAAATTTTTGCCAAAGGCTCATTTCGACGCTATAGAAATACGAGTAGAAGTACCATTTTTTCCAATTTTTTTAATGAAAATAACTCTCTGCTAAAGTTAAATTTTTAAATAAGAAAATTTGTGAAGTCTAATAAACAATAAAAAATAAATTTAAAAATTAAAAATGAATAAAATAAGCAATAACTAATATCGTGATCGATCTAAATAATGAAAAATAAAAATGATTTATACCTTTCTTTTTTTTTAGCATCAAATCCTTTTATCTTTTTATTGTTTAAAAAATATATTATGTTGGGGGGTCTATTTTTATCATTATTTTTAATTATCAATTATCATCAATGATGTTGCAGTTAATTTAAATTAATTTATTAATTTAATTAATTTAATTTTTATAAATTTCATTAATTATCATTTATTTATTTATAAGATAAAGTATCAAATGAAAAAAAAATAGTATTTGCGAATATAAGTAAAACAAGACAAATGATCATAAGTTAACAATAGAAAGAGAATATAAATAAAGTGGAATTACGAAGTAAATCAGGTAAACCAAATAAATATATTAGTAGGAGATAATCGAATGATAAGCGATCAAAATTTTAAACTTCCTGCTTAACATAAAGCTTTTAAATAATATCATGGATGATATTATCTTATTTTTTTTCAAAAGAACAGATAAGAAACTATCATTTGGCAGTTTATTCCAGTAATTAATGGTGCGAATAAATATGCCAGAAAGTCCACTGGCAATAGAAATACAGTTAAGTCGCCAGAATCATCCGGATTTTTAGATAGTTTTACTCATATAGGGAGAAGAAATTCAGCATCGATGCTCCAAATTGATCAACAGTCTACTGAGCCATTCTACTCCACATAATTTATTGTTGTCTGCAATGAATTGATTGTAATGATACGGCATTAAATAATAAATTAAAAATATAAAAAATTAATGCAGAAATCTTTGCGCCCTTTCAATTCCTTAATAATTAGGATCGCTTTTCGCTACTTCTTAATTTATAGAATTATGTAATAGCGATATCTTTATCAGATATCAATTTTATCATATTATATTCTTATAACTGATATTTATTTATTTACTTTTATCATCTAAAAAATTGTAGGGAATATTCGAAAATTTCTTAAATATCTTTTGATCATTATTTAAATAAAAGCCAATGAGAGGTGCCAATGAGGCCAATATGCCCACAATTGAATTTACAACACCATAAAATAATAAAAACAAGAAAGGGTACAATAGATTACTGCTAAATAGAGGTTAAATTAGATATAAACTTTAAGAAAACATAAAAATATTATTTCATCTCGATGAAAACCTTATATAGATAGTCTCATAACTATTTTATTAATTTCCCACCATTCTAAATTTTATGCAAATTTTTTTTGTTGCTGAATGAATATTAATTTGTCTAGTGCAATCTTATTAAAAATGTACTTTTATATTTTAATAAATTTGCATGAATTATTGCAACACGGTGCTATTTCTGGTTCGGTTAACGCTTTCCTAACTGCAGCCTTCTTTCAACATTTAATGATAGAGAGGTCCTTTAAATAGGAGATTGGTAGTCGCTTAAGCTATCGCGTCAAGTCTTTAAGATTCGATACGTCAGATAGAAGTAAAACTTTTATTGAAAAATTCGCATTGTGCTAGCAAATCAACTTTTATTTCTATCAGCAAGCGAATCAAAATTTTTATCATACTTGTAGATTGTGAAACGAGTCATTTTTTAATGGTTGCCATAATTCCATCGAAATACTGGATTTGTTCTTAGTTAGTACCATTCAGCCATCCTAGTATCATCCTATTCTAATCCTAATTTTGATTGGTTTTTTTATTCTATTCATGACTGCAATAATACCGCAGAACCAAAACCTAAAATCCCCATAAAAAATTCTTTACCTTGAAAAAAATCCTTTTGAATTATAACCGATATAATGAATATATATATATATATCTATAAATCTGCAAAAATTGTTTCTTTTTTTTTAAATCTTTCATTTTTTTCATTGATAATGTTTCTTTAATAATAACAATAATAATAATGATTCTCCCATCTTCTTCTAATAGCACTCGCCATTAGTGGTTAGCTAACTTGTAGTTTCTTGCCACAAGGGTAAAACATCTCCAAAGCTATTCGGTCCGATAATATAGCTGATAGTAATTATATTATTATAGCTGACATTAATTATATAATATAATAATAATTATAATAAATAATAATAGAAATAATAATATGATATTATTAATAATTAAATAATAAATAATAATGATAGTAATACTTACAACAATCGTTATTAAGTTATTACTATGTTTTTATAAATTATTACTATTATTACTATGTTTTTATAAATTTATAAGTTTATTTTGATATTTTTATTAAATTTAAGATCACACGATTTTAAAAACCCAATCTAATAGTAAATGTGATCATAAGATATCAAATAAATATATCGGTTTGATTTAAACCAATAATTAGCAGAAACTGGAGCAGCCTAGTAGAGCGTCTCAGATTATGGTGTTGAAATGGGAGAATTCAGACTTTGGAGAGTTTGCTGGAAACAAACCTACCATTCGCGTGGCGTCGGTAACCCACATCTACTTTTGCCCCTTTTGGATGGAACTATCGCAAGCATACTCTACTAAGAATTAACCGAGCGAGTTTAATCAGAACTATCGACCATTTATAGTTGAAATAACTTTGAAGTATTCCAATATTGTAGTAGAATATTTCTTTACGATTTCATTCTTTGAAACGAATAAATTTCATGGAAATTAAATAAAAATATTTATTATGCTAATTTTTTTTCTTATTTTCACATATCAGATATCAGAAATATCAGAAATTTTATTAAAATCTTAAAATTACTAAAAAAGTTTTTGTAAAATTAAAAATAAAATTAAAAATTTTTTACTTTCACATGCGATTATGAATAAATTATTCGCATGATGAATGATGCATAATTTGCCATATTTGCATTTACATTTATTCTTTTCTCATTCAAAAATTTTAAAAGCAAAAAAAATGAAATAAAATCTTTCTCTTTGCCAATAAATTAATATTAATTGGAAAAAAAGTAGGAAAAAGGCTCATCGTTTTCTTGCTAGGCTCACTCCTTCATTACGATACGAAATTTTTTAGGGGTTATTTGGCAAAAGATGGTTTACTAGTATAAGTCGGATTTTTTAAATGGAAAGTATATTTGAATGTAATGGAGGTGTCCAATTCCTTATAATAATCTGAATATAAAAAGTTCAACTATTTTTTCATCCAAATACCTAAATATTTTTATGATAATTATGATAAATTTCATAAAAACCGACAGTAGTAAATGAATTTCAGAAACTTGGGTCGAATTGCATTGCGATAAAGAATATTTTGAGATAGTCTTAGAATTAGCCAATTCAACTATTTCGAATTATGTTCGCTTATCATCGAATATCAATAAAACATATCAAAATCGAGTTGTACGACATGCTTGCCATAGTGAAATTCGAAAAGAAGTTAATCAGCTTAAACTAAAGGCGTTTTATCAAAATTGTGATGGAATTCGTACAAAAAAAATCATTGGTGGTGTTCAATATGATATAAAGGTGATTGGCTCTTCGTATCATTGCTAATAATAATTTTTAATAATTTGAGAAAATTTGAGAGTTAGATTTAGCAAAATGAATTATTTTTATACGAATTTTTCTAGAAGAAAAATCAAAATCACCTTCTGATTATATATTTTATCAACTATTAATATCCATTATTTTTATTATTTTTTAGATTGATTACCATTTATCATCTAATATTGAAAAATATTCTTTTCTCGTGACCTGCTTTGTACCAACTAAAATGATCGATCTGGTTTACTTTTTGAGATATTTGGAAAAATGGAAAGAAACAAATGAAAATATTAGAAAAAATATTAAAACATTTTTTTATTTTGCGATTTTCTATTTATTTTTATAAATTTTCTTGCGATTTTTATCATTGAGATGAAAAATTATTTTCAGAATACGACACCATTTAATATGACAATGACAACTGGAAGCGGAATTTTAATTGATTCTCCTCAAAAAACATTAGAAGTTGGAACCATACTTAATTTTATTTTTGAACCTCAAGAGAATTTATCGTTTCCTGGTTAATTTTTTTAAATTTTTTTTTTTTTTAAATGTACAGTCTAATTTCTTTCAAGAATGAATGATTTGATTTATGGTGCTTGATCCAGTATTTTTTTAGTGAATTTCGGTGGATATCCTATGTCTTGCGAAATAATGAAATCCGATGGTAGCGCAAAGAAGGATATGATAGTCAATGGTTGTCCATCGATGATAAATAACATTGGCCGTAAAGCGAAACTTATACAAAACATTGAAAATCTTAGTATCACGAAAGTCAAATTAAAAATTGATCAGGAAATCATTCCATGGGGGAGGTAATCGAGTTTTTGCAATTTCTAAATTTGGATGAAGCTGGCGACTCACCTGTATTTCTATCGCTAAGAGACATATCTCTCTGGCATATTTTTCCGGTGCAACAAGCTAGCGGAGCGAGTTTATACCAGTAATAGTGAGGATAACACTAGAAAAAAAAATTTCTAGATCTCATTTTTAACGATTCATTCATTAATTGTTTGGTTTAAGTGAAACCATTGATGGCTCAAATGGCTTTATTATACGATGTCATATTTTGCCATGTACTGGAGACAGATTTCGGGGATTATTTGGTATACCTCAGGTAAGAATTTTTTAGTGAGAAAATCGGCTATTTTTATATTTTTATTTTTATAACAAAAAGTTTGCAGTGCCCTCGAGCGTCACATTTATGTTTTGGTCGTAGTATGGATTTCAGTTCAGAAATTTTCAAATTCAGATTGAAATTCAAAGAAATCACAATACAAAGTCAAAGCATTTTAAAGATTATGAGTAATCAGTATAGTGGCAGTCCTTTATCTGAATTATGCAATAATGCATGCAGTATGGTTGGTGAAATTTTGATATAGTGGATTTTTATAATTAATAGGTTAACTTATTTTTGTTTTTTTTCGCTTGGCTTCCAAATACGAAATATTATTTTGATGAATTTTATGGAGATATTAGGTTAATGGATGTTGTAATTTCTTCACTTATCATCCTTATCATTTATAATTTGGCTAGGCTATTGGAATGAGAACAATTTTAGTGGCAAATTTACTTTCTTTCATTAAGCTAGCGGAATATATTCGATCTTAGCCGAAGCAATATATCTATTCAAATTGATAAGAAATATTAAATAAAAGATAAGATGAACTGATAAGATAAAATAATCAAAAAATAGAATTCCCATCAAATACTTTATGGTTTTTAAACCAATTTTTTTATTTCGCAAAAAAACAAGATTTGATGATAAAAAAACTGAAACAAAACATCTAACAATGCATTAAAAAGATTGATTGTTGTAGAGAGTAAAATCAGCCATGCAAAAAATTTCGAGCCGTAAATCAGTAATTATTCTCACTGGTTTTTCACTTTCAATCGGCGTTTTTATCACCGCTATTGTTTGGTTTGTGCATAGTCGGATAAAGCGAAAACAGAAAAAATCGAGAAGTATGATTTTTAGGCTTTTTAAGGCTTTTCACAAGTGCTTGGCTCATCTATAAATTTATACTTTAATTTCACTCAATTTTTTTAATTAATTAGATTGGCTAGAAATTGTCGGCTTGTTAAGCCAAGATTTGAGAAAGATTTGAGAATTTTAACTGCAAATGAGCAGAAAAGAAAATGAGAAAAACGAGAGATTTTTGTATCCCTTTTGATATTTCTTAATGTTGGCAGCTTTCTTAATTTTTCCATATTTTCAGAAATATTTTAAAATTTTTTTTGGATATTGCATTGTGCGTGCTTTTTCATAAATATCCAACTTCATTCAAAATAAATAGAAAATGAAATATAAGAAAATACAAAATACAAAGAAATAAACAAAAATAAAATGAAAAGAAGGAAATAAACGATAATCAAGGAAATTTTTAGAACGATTGATAATGAAATGCGACCAAGCAAAAACACCTATTGTTCATCAGGAGCCTTCTTTATAATTCATCAATTTTTCTATATTACGAATGGCAAAGTGAAATTCATACCACAAAATATAATATTACACTACGGTGACATGTGTGGTGACATATGGTGACATATTATTGAGCAATTCTAATTGTATTATGCGATCTTTTTTTCTGGATTCAAATTCTTTTCTATAATTTTTTTTTTCCGTTAAGATGGACACTGAGCTTCTTAAACTCATATTTATAGCCCTTTTTTTTATCGGATTTTAATGGATTTTTTTTCACCGAGAACTCAAATCACTTTTTGGTGAAAATAAGTACAAAATGATAGCATATTTTATATTTATAATATTTATAACCACTATGCTTTACTATTTTTGCATGCACTTCTTTCTATTTTTTAACATATTCAAATCAAATTTGTAGAAAATAGATTTTTTTTCTAATTATTATTAGTATTTTCAAAATATTTAAGTAAAATAAATGAGTGATTTGTTAAATTTAAGAATTATTTTTGACGACCATTATAAAAATTGCAATAATTTTTGTAAAAATCCATAAATATACAAAAAATTTCATTTTTTTGAAAATTGCTAAATTGGGGTTAAAACAAATGTAAAATGGCTCAAAGAGTTTTTGCTCAATTTGTTCAGAACGCCAATGCTGAGGTTCTACTCCACGCAGGAGATTAAACCTGTCCAAAAATCCGAGTGATGCTGGTGACTCATCTCCAACTTCTATCGCTAAGGGATTCCTCGGCACATTTGTCCAGTGCGAGAAGCCAGCGGAGCGAGTTTAACCAGTAATGGGTGAGGGGTGCTCTTTGAAAACTGAATTAATCGTTCATCATAAGAATAAGTTATATGAAAAAAAGAAAGGATCACCCGAAATATGATTTATAATTAAAATCTTCTGCCCTGAATTCGGTTGTAGTTTCTTCAAAATTTTGAAACATGAAAAGATGAAAATTTGACAATTTGAAAAAACCGTCAAAATTGTATTCCATATCAATGCTTTTCATCAATTCGAAATTGGTGAAAAGAAAAATTTCTTCAAAATTATTTCTTGTTTTTTGCTTTCTTAAGAGCTTTTAATTCTTTCTTCGCCAACTGGCAACTATTTGATGGTCCCTGCGGAGTTTCTTAACGCTTATAAATTCTTTTCCTCGAATGCATTTGCATAAAGTAAATAGGAGCGCAATAGAAATATGTGGTATATATAAAATATCTGTGGTTTTTCAAGTTCCTTCTTATCCATGTCCATATATTTCTTGGAATTCCTGATTATCAAATTCCCGTGGTCTCTAAATTAAGAAATCCTACATAGCGGAACGCCGTGGTCTCTAAACTAGGAACTCCTATATACTATAATTTTTCGTTGTTTTTGTTTTACTATGTTAGTTCTACTGTCGCTATTTTTTCTATGTGGCTAATTGCAATTTTGTAAGGCGAGACGAAATCATTATCGTATCCTCCAGTTTACTTATTTCGTGTTGTTTTATATTTTCATCTTTTAACTCGGGGATAAACTTGAATACTCTTTCATTATAGATTTTTAATAACATTCAGCCACAGCTCTACCTTGGCTTTTCCTTTGGCTATTGGTGTGAGACGATTTCATCGGAGAGTCTATTAGAGATACGAGTTAAAAGTTTGTCCTCGTCACTGCCTGGATTTCAATAGCAATTTTATTCTTCACTAAAGGATAGAATTTCTTGATGCTCAATTTTAATTGAACCGACACACTGCTTGAAATCATTCTGCCTCCTCCAAACAAAAATTTAAAAATTTTATTTTTCTTAAAAAATTCGTGTAAAAGTGATTACTCAGGGAAATTAAACTACTAATTTATTTCTCTTTAAATGATATATTTTTTTATCACTTTTCGAAAAAACGATTTGCAAATACTTTTTTAAAATGGAATAAATCAGTTTTTAATGCGATATTAAAATAATTTAAACCGCTTTAAAGTTTTTATAATTCCTTTTGACCTCAAATATATTTTATTGAAATAAAATATTTAAATGTTTTTTTAAAATAATTTCGATAAAATAAAGTTTAAAATAGTTTATTATATATTTTATTTTTTAGATATATGTAAATGATTTGAAGTATCTATCGGACCGGTCGAAATTTTTTTAATAAATGAAAATTTAAAATTTAAAACTTAAAATACAAAATAATGCAAAAAATATTTAAGGAAATATTAGATTAATAATATAATAAATGATTTTTAATGATTTCGAAATTTTAATAAATGTCTTAATATTCGAGCGTGCGAGTTTCAGATTTCAGACTCGTCTTGCAAAAAACCGCAACATGTGATTTCGATTTATTAATTGTTATTGTGAATTGTTCTTATCACTGAATTTATGCCTTTTATTTTGTTTTTATGAGCTAAAACACAAGGAATTTTGGAATATTCTATAGTAAAATTAGTAAAAATACAAAGGTTTTTTTATCTATGATGAGTTTTTTTTTGTTCACATAAAAATAATAATAGAATATTCAATTGTTCTTAACAATATTCATGAATGAATAAATGGCTTTTGCATAAATCAACACTGATTAATATTTTTTGAACCTAAATTTAACCTAAATTTTTTTAACCTAAATTTGCATGTAAGTAATATTGTCTGAATTATTTAATAAAACTGCCTGTGCATGATTAACGTTATAAAATCTAAGTAAAAATTCTGCCGAAAAATTATAAAACGCCTCAGAAAGCTTTTTCGCTTCACTTTTCAAAAAAGCTTGTCTTCATTTTGAATTTTTATTTTATCATAAATGTGCATATTTTTTATAGTAATAAAGTTGATATAATGTAATTAAAAATGATAAAATCGACTGTACAAGTTAAAGCTTTAAATACACCAAATTTAATGCATTATTTATTCGACACAATTGTTATTTATCAATTTGATTATTTGATTATTATCAATTAATAAATCAATGGTGATTAAATTATTGTTTTGTTCGATAGAGACTTTTTTTACAGTTTCTTTTACAAGTATAATATTTCAACCATTGATAAATTATCATAATCAATTAACTGATGAATCATCACAATCAATTAATCAAGGAAGTTAAAAAAAGAAAGCATATAATGAAGATCTCTTGGCTAAACGAAAAAAATTCAAAGCAAATTTATTTTTTAAGCAAATTTATGTTCAGTAAGCTATTTCCAAACTGTTATCCATTAGCTTTTCAATTATTTGCCCATATTTGTCATAATAAATGAATTCGAATCAACAGTACCTTGGTTCATCGCATAATGATCACCTTTTCGAGCTCGTCTCTCGGATTTTAATCTAAATATATAATTTTTTTTTAGAACACCACCATTTTTGGTTAGAATTCGAGAAGTTTTGCGAGAGAGTAAGATAGAAGTGCAGATGAGTCGCTAGCATTATTCGGATTTTTGAAAGAATATTCGTTCTTCTTGGGAATAGAAACCTAGCAATCGGCCCTCCGAAATGGTAACAGTACCGCACTGAGCCACCATTTTATCACACTCAATTAATCTAATTTTTATTTCTTGTATTAATTAAAGGAAATAATTTTCTTCTGCAAATAAATGTCAAGGATGAAAGGATGATCTTCATAAAATATTCGAATTTCAAAAATATATATAATCATGAAAATATTGAAAAGACAATTATTCTCCACTTTAAAGGATTGGTTATAAAAAAATAGTTCTATTAGTAAGTTCTTATAAGCAAATTCTTCAACTTAAACTTATTAATTTCTAATTTGGCTAGTTCCACTAACTATTAAGTATGGATAGAAAGAGAATATTTATACATTCTCTTAAGATATAAATTTAAGCAACACACGGTGATAAGAAAAATGAAAAACAGGTTAAAAATTATAACAATTATTATGATAATTATATTATCATAATTACAATGATCAAAGAGATGTATGTCTATGGAGAAATTTTAAAAATTTTGTAAAAATAAATTTAAATAAAAAAAAAATTGACCTAACATAATTGGCCGTCATACACATTAAGAAATAAATAAGGCCCAAGAGTGCCAGTAAAGCGCATAGAAAAGATCCAATGAAGGACCACGTTTGATTATATTTGGCTGCACATAGTGCTTCTTTTTTATCCTTGCAAAATGTTAAATCGACCTTCTGTAATATTGAAAGAGATTTTATAGAGATTTAAATAGATTTTATAGAGAGATAGATTTTATAGAGAAGCTTCAAACTGATAATATTTTAAATTCTTTCAAATCCTTGAACATTCGTTTTAAAATCCCATGAGAAAAAAACTTATACCTTATTAGTTAATCGACTAACTACAGCTGGAAGCAAAACTGTAAAATCGAAACATTGATTATCTACAAGCGCACAAAACGAATATACCGATCCAATAAAGATGAAATATAAAACAGCAAAAATTGCACTCACACAAACTATTAAACTCCAGAAACATACTGCAAAAAAGAAATGATAAAAGTAGAAAAGTGAAATGGGATTAATGAATTTTGATAAGTGAATTATCAGTTATAGCAAATGCATATCACCATTATCACCTTATTTAATCATGTTTTCCTAAATTTTCTCATATTTGCTTTGTCATATTGTAAATAAAATTTTATTTGGAAGTTTTATCCGTTATTATTCATTCGCTTAATAGAAATAGCAGATCCATGGAAAAATAATTATTTTGAAAATAATTCTTTAATGGTGCAGCCATTATGGGTGGTATAGGCTATTTTCTCGGTTCCTCTACCAAAAATATAAATTAAAGAAATTCCCTCCACAAAAAAAAATTTATTACATAATTTATTATTATATTATATTATTTATTTACTATTATATTGTATTATTTATTTTATAAAATATATTTTATAAAAAAAGACCAAATATTAGTGATCCAAGCGTAAAAGATCCAAGAATAATTGGTGAAGTGACCTGTTCCGAGAAACTCGATGATTCTTCAAAAGTGTCAGAATTTGAATTTAATTCAGCTGATGCTGAAAAATTTTAATGATAAAAGCTTTTCTTAAATCGCATTTCAAAAACTTATACATAAATAATATACAATTTTCTATTGACAAATGACCCATATAAATTATATGCAAAAAATCGGTTATAATTGATCATAAATAATTGAATTCAAAAATCTTTGTATTATAAAATGAGTTAAAAATGATGGAAATTTTTCATGGATGGAACGAAAAATAAATTTTAATAAATTTTAAAAAATTAATCAAACTGTATTTTTAAAAAAATTTTATAAATTTAAATTCGATTTTAAATTTTATTTTTTGAAAAGTAATTAGATGAACGGTGCTATCCATTTCTGGTTAAATTAGCTCAATTTAATGAATCATTAAATGATGATTAGAAATTTTTGCCAGAGAATCATTTAGCGAATGGTCTATCAGTACCACGCAATGATAATAGTTCCATGTAATGAAAGGTTGAAAGATTTGGTGCTATGAATATTCATATATATTTTTTTATCAGCCAACAAAACCGGAATAAGCAAATTGAAAGCGAATGTACCAACAAATAGTTCAATGAGAGAAAAATTTTTTAAATTATTTAGTCGAATCATATTATATAAAAAGCCGATGGGTCCAATGATTGCACAACTATAAATTATCTTGATCAAAATGAAAGTCTGTGTCTACATAGCTGCGATTCGCTCAGTTTCGTTATATGACTATGAGATATGACCGATGAAGGTGGAGAATATTAAGTTATTAAGCTTGACCACTCATGCCTAAGATACATTTTACAGATTCGCCGAACTGATAAAACATGATTGCCTTTGGCTCAAACACCATAAAGCGTTTGCTAATTTTCTTCTCACAATCACTTAACTTATAATTGATAATTTATTTTTGGTAATTCCTCTCTAAATTGCATCCTCAGAATTGAATAAGGATATTGGATATTGGGTCAGTTTTAGCCGGTCAGAATAAACTATTTCATATAACGCCTCGAATTTTTATTTGTTCTTTGTTATTCTTCTTCTTCTAACCGCTCTCACCATTACTAATTAGACTGACTCCAACGGCTACAAGGGTAAGAAGCTTCCAAGCGACGCGGTCTGATACCATCGCCGACAGCAATAGAAGCCATTCCTTTTTCCATCGCCTAAGTCCATATATTGCTGGTCCATCTTTACGTTCAAAATTTATTCGTCATTGATCTCGAAAAAAATCGTAAGAGCCTTATAAAAGAATGAAAAAAATCAACTAATTAACTGAAAATCTACTACAAAGAATTTCATTAAACTTCTATTATTCTAATTCGAAAATAACGAAAAGGTCGATGTAGTTTTTTTTTTCTAATTTATTATTTGAAATCAGTGATCTTGAATCCGCTGAAAGATTCATTTATTATTTTAATCAACTTTCTTGATAAATCGTCTTGATAAATCGTCGTTCATTGTTAGGCCAATTCCTTAATGCACTAATATGTAATTTTCCAAAATGGGATTGAACCTCATAACTGGATTTGTTTGGAGGAACGTCGTTTTAGGGTAAATCTGATTGGTCCCAACAGTTGTAATAATTTTATTTTTTAATTAAATCTATTTTTTCATTAATAATAATTTTATAAATAAATTTATTTATTTTGGAATTAATTTGTATGCCTATCGTAAAATATTCCTTTTCATTTCCTTTCATTTTTTTTTGTTTTATTGTACTCTTATTGTATTCTTATTGTACGGTTTAATTATCCAAGTTTGAGGTGAAGAATGAAATCTTTATTGATATGGGCGGTAAACAATTCTTACCAATATTGCCCTGATGAGCAGTCGGATCAAATGTTTTCTAAAATAAAATCGGGTGGCAGGCCAGCATTTATTCCGTTGTTATCATTATTATTTATTATTCTATTTACAGCTGGTAAGGATATTGTTTCGGCACCAATCAGTATAATAATATGTAATATTGATAATATTAATGAATATAATAATAATTATAATAATATTAATAAATATAATAGTAATTATAATTTTTGATTTATTTCTAAAAATTATGATTTAATATTCACCTGAAGTTGCTGCAATTCCAATGGCGAGAAAACCTATAACCATAGTGATAAAAAATATGGTTAAAAGTAAAAGTAACCATCTGAATGTGAATGAACCAACAGGCATAAGAGTATTGACCTATAAAAATTTTCATTAATCCTTTATTAATTTAATTTGAAAATGATCGAAAGATATCAAAAATATTGAGGACTCTTAATTGGATTTATTTTCATCCTAGTCTAATACAATATTAATAATTATACTAAATAATATTGTTAATAATGGATTAATAGTATTAATAATATTAATAATTATTAGTAATATTAATTGGTAATAAAGGATTAATTATTAAGGATTAATTACATTGAAAGAGAAATTGTAGAAAATATGGGAAGTAAAGGTCAAAGGTCCACTGGTAACAGGAGCACTTGGGACTATGACTTCTAAACTAGAAAAGTGGCTTCAGTAGATTTCAGGAACAATATCAGAGATCTCTATCCAGAACAGCGCTATTAGGAACAGTTAAGATGCTGTGCGGAACCATAAATTTTCCTGCTCATCGCACATTATACTGGTGCTTACTAATAATATAAAAAAAACTTTCGCCTCCTGTGGGTGGAGATAATTATTCTCAACAACAGTGCCAGAGGCTTGGGAGATCGGAGGTTCAATACAAATGTATCTTGACTATTCTTAATAGTGCGCTCTTCTGGATAGAAACCTCTGATATTCCTGGAATCTGCTGAAACCACTTTTTTAGTTTACAGATCTCAATTTCAAGTCCGATTGCCAGTGGAATTACTTTGGCTTTTACTTTTCATACCTTCTCTAATCTCTAATCCCTCTTTTTAGTCTTTAGTATTTCTCTACTTCTCGTATTCCTCTTTTTTGAAATTCAGCTTGGTATTGCTATCACCAGTGTTAATTTCCGTTTCTCTTTCTTATCTATCTTATCTTATCCACAATATATATAACTAATATAATAATAAAAATAAATATTATTCATCTAATTTTGAAATCTTTTGTGAAAAAAAGGAATTTCATTAGTTTAGTTTTCGTATATAAAACCAAAAAAATAAAAAGATGACCTGTTGAGAAAATCCTTCTACAGCGCCATCAAATATAATAATAAAGCTGATACATCCAACTAACGATATGATTAATGCAAATAGTGAACCAAATGGGATAAATTTATAACAGCGAGACGACATTCCTAGAAACAATTGTTCATTAAGTAATAAGTACCATTGCGTGTCATCATACTTGCAACTATTTTTTGAATAATTTTTAAGTCATATTTTTCGACTGTTGTTCCTAAAGAAAATCAAATAAATAAAAATTGAAAATTTTGGCGAAAATTTTAATAAAGAAAAAAAATTCAAAGAAAAATTGATTTATCATTGTTAGCTAAAATATTTCTTTTTAAATTATTCGATAATAAAAAGCGAATCAAAAATTAATAAATAATGAAGAAACTTCTATGAAACAAACGTACCTACCCACTGAGATCAGTGGAACCAATCAAACTAGCAGTAGTTATCAGATGAGATATCAGAAATGATGCAAAGATAGCAGTGCTTTTTCTATATGCAATAGAAAAGCTAAGAATGTTATAAATAAATGATAATGATAATTAACCAACCTTTATCTCTGAAACACGTTCTCTGAAAAGGCAATGAACTAAATTAATGTTCCATGATTGAAGACGATGAAACCAACCAGCGTTGAACTAAAATTACACCTAACACACCCACCTAAAATAACTGCGAATAAGCAAATAGCTTATGAATTTGATGAAAATACTGCGTGCTAAGATCGTGAATTTTTTTTCAAATGAAAATAATAAAAAATATTGCTAAATAAATACGGAAATAAAATATAAAATTCGTGGAAGCAAATGGTTTCAGTGAGTCAATAAAATTTCTGACACATTATATTTGAAGAAATACGCATCACCATCATCAATAAATAAAAAAAATAAGGAAAAAACGAAAAAAGTGCGCAATTTATGGATTGATAATTTGATAATCCGAAAGATTGGATTAGATCGAAGATGATCTTATCACACTAACTAGATTTATCATCTCAAATTACTATCGAATATCAGAAGGCAGCATAAATGAGTGGCTGTTATATAAACGACTGTGCTATCTGTCTCAAAGCATCTTCCACATCTTATAGGAATGAATTTGTTATCAAAAGAATCTAAGTATTGCTGGTGACCTATCTACACTTTTATCACTAAATGATAATTCCCTACTCATCGTGCTAATAGCCAGTGAAATTGAATATATCAGAAAATCATTTACTTTACTATTATATAAATTACTATCGAACGATTAGAACATTTATGTCTTCACTCTTTTTTTTAGATTTTTATCGAACAATGAATATTTTCTTATTTAACAACAAACCTTTAATGTTTAATCAAATACTAATTACTTATTTTCTAAAATTTTTTTTTAAAAAGTATAAAAAAATTTATTAGTGAAATTCATGCATCCCTTTAATAAAATATGGAAAAAACAATAGAATCCAAGAAAATCAATCCACAAATCACATGCATAGGAAAACATATTAGACACAAAAATTCATCGATTTTAATTTCATCTAGAAAATCTCGCAAAAATATAAATAATTTTATAACAAAGAACACAATATATAATATTATAATATTCTATGCGTTACCTTCAAATTAACCTTCAAACGAATCTCTCCGAAAGGAGAGAATTTATCAATGAAACTAAAAAATCCACATGGTACTTTCAATTTTCGTTTCAATCACCACATTAGCAAAAATTTCTCTTCGTACTAATAACCGGGTTGTTGCTAAATTGAGAGCGCTGATACTGAGGTTCGATTCTCCGCAGGAGTAAGCCTGTATAAAAATCCGGGTGGTGCTGGCGACTTACCTGTATTTCTGTCGCCAAAGGACTCCTTGGCATATTGCGCAATGCGACCAGTGAAGCGAGTTTAACCTGTAATGGTGAGGACTCTTTAAAAAAAAATCAACTAAGAGCGGTGGTTCCCTAGACTAATGAAAAATTTGTAAGTGAGCGCTTTATTTTTGATAAC